TTTTTACATACGAGCGATGAAGAAAAGATCCTCAGTTAAATAAGGAAATCAAAATATATATAAAACTTAACCGTAAGAAACGCAATATAAATCGATTGATAAATTATATAAATTTTTTCACCAACAAAAGCTGCCATTTAAAGGCCTTGATCGGTGTACTGGTTCCCCAAATAGATAAAGTTAAATAAAATTAATAAATTTAAATAAGAGAAAATAGCAAGTACAATTTTGCATGAATATTTCTTGCTCAGAACGATCTTATGAATAGTATTTAAAAAATTCACATGAATGTCATTGAAAGGAATTAATAAGTTCTTAGTTTGTTTTACTAAAACAGCTGGTCAACCAATACACAAGAAAGAAGGATTTTTTTCCTATAACAGAGTATGTATTAAAAAATGTGAAATCCCTTAAGAGTATTATTAAACTGTAATATGCTAAAAGCCTGATTTTAATAATCAATTTGAATTTACGAGCTTCCTAAATGCAGAGAAATTTCCTTCTTCTAACTTTCTCACAATATATTGTTAAATAAACTTAACACTAGTCTTGCGAATTATTTGAGTTTATAAATTATTTAAGTTGAATACTCTATATTTCCCCCTTGAAATAGAAAATAAACTTATACCGTATATAAACAAGAATTTACACTGTATGTAAACACCAAAAGTAATTATAACATTAAAAGCGAGAATTTAATTTATTATACATATTTTTTCCAATTCAGACTAAGAACTAGTGAATTTTAAATTGGTATTATTTGCTTTTCATTATTTTACCTACCATTTAGTAATTAATAGTATTAATATGCAAATACTTATAGCCAACTTTCCAATACATATAATGCCAGCTTCCATTCATTAATATAATTTTTTAAATTTTGATGCAAAGTAGCATGATTTTTCTAAAAATTTTAGATACCCCCGGAAAAAAGATATATAAAGAAAGACTCAATTTAACAGTTTAAGGGAACAGAGCATACGCCCAGAAAACTAATAATAAATTCTTTTGTAATAACATTTTCAATTCCTAGTCAGAAAGGCAAACATTTTGGCTAAATATTTGCCAATCAACATTTGTTTCAGAATGGAATGTTTTGCGAAATACATTTTCAAAATCTAATTGAGTAATTATTGGAGTTTGCTTAATTATGTTTGCAGCATTATGTTATTTCATCCCAGGGGGCTATTCATGCTTTACGAAATAATATTTTATATTTTACTAAATGATTTTTAACTACAAGATGGGATGCAGGAATAATGCAAAGACATTAATTCAGTGTATTAGTCGATCTGAAATGTTGATGAACTCAGATGAATAACAGCTGCAATCAGCCATGCAGGAAAGACTCAAATGTGATACTATAACATAAAAAAGTTGTTCACTTATACAGTGAGAATATCTTTAAAAAAATCTGAACATACTGTTTGTTAGCTTGATGACAAACGGACTTACTTTTTCTGACGCTTATTTGCTAGCATCTTAGGTTTTATAAAATTATTGCTTAACCATCATTCTTAATTGTACTCTATGTTATTTTGAAATGCGATGACCTTGAACAATTCATTATCTTGCTAATAGTCTGCCTCTTGCTTTTTGCCCTATGATTTCCCTCATTTTAATTTATTCACTTACTCTAGAAACATGCAAATGTGAAATTAAACATCAAGGTTCTTCAGAAGGCACGCAAACAGTCTGATTTCACTAGAATGGGTTTATCCTAGGCTTTAGTGCCTATGAGAGTGCGCCATGCGTTTATCCTGAAGATCTCAAATTATCCTGAAGATCTCAAAATTATTTGGGAATTTTTTAGGAAATTTATATTCTTGTGAAGTCTGCTTGTAAATAATTTCCTTTCGTTAAATATTAGAGTATGAGATGGGGGGGGGCTTTCCTTCCTGGTTTAAGTTCTTTGTTTATTGTATAAAGAATGTTTTTTAAGCACCGTTTGGATATCATGTAAATACATGAACATTTGTTAACGGTTTTGTGCTTTATTTTTACATGAAAGGTGGGTCCTATTCAACGTTTCAACATAATTCCCACTTACATTAAGGCAACTGCCAGATTCTGAATTCCATTTTCATAGATATCTGTCGCCTGATTTTATAACAATTTTTGGTCCTAGCGGGAGCACAACTTCCGATAGTTTAAGTGCCTTGTCACAATTTCATCAACTTTTCGCGCCAGATCATCATTAATGACGGTTGATCGCCCACTTCCTTCCTCGTCATCATGCTAAGCGATTTCCTCATCGTTTACGAAATTTCCTGAAGTTTTAAGTTATTCTGACTGACTGCCTCAAATGAAATTCCTAATGTTATTTTGACTGCGATGCAAAGTATTGAGGCAAACGGCTTCCATTGCAGTAATATCGACCTTGAAGGTGAGCCTTTTTCAGGATATTTGGTTGTGGATCGTTGCAGATCTAGTTATAATTGCATATGATCTTTTCAGATATTTTAGGGGTACATATAATTACTGTGATTGATTACCTGTATGACCTTGGCTTGGGGAATAAACCTCAGTAGTAGAACGACTTGGCCACCGACAAATTGAGTTAGGAAGCTTCTAGTTGCCGTTGTTTTAATGTCGTGCCGACTGCTATCTCAATTCTGTGGTCATAGAGAATGAAGAAAGAAACCTTTATGTTAATATAAACTCAATGAACTTAAATGCAAGAGCACGAACAACCTAATCCTCGACGGCAGCAGAGATCCTCCTGTATAAAGCGATTTTTTGCATTTGATAGATCTCAGATAGATTAAGCCATTCACAGCTGTTTGAGCTAAGCATCAACAATGCTACCAAATTTGTTTTATTTGCAACTTATGATTTCAATGATACTTTTTCAGATTTGTTAGTGGCACAAAGAGGTTCGACTCCTATAAAACAGCACATGATTTTATGTGGCTCGAATGAACCATCAAATATTATTGAAATTTTATTAGCTGCATAATTCAAGGTCTGAAGTAACAGACTGCCGCATTTTTTTGGGTTGCTAAGTTGTGCCTCAACGAAGAAGGAAATCCCTTTCGATATCATCAGTAATATTCTTCCTCAACTAAATCATTAGTTTTTGCTTTCATACCCTAAGTTGAAAGAATTTTCCTAAGCTGGCAATCAGTCGCTAGCTCAACAGATAAATGAGCTTGATTCTAAGCAGCAGTAAATTCTGTATTTAAATCTCATTTAGAAACAGATCGTTACAGTCTTATCGTAAATTTAAATTCCTGAAAAAGCTCAAAATAATCATTCTTGTGCATATTACAAGGCAATTTATTTAAATTTTATAGTGACTTTCGAAGGTTAGCTGTTTTAGAAAAGAGGCTATATTAATAAGATATAATACTGTGCGCACATACGTATTTTTAAAATACAAATTTTTATTATAATACAAATTTAAAGAAGTTTTAGCATGGAAAGAAATTTTTCTTTTGTGGCAAGGAATTAAAGCAGGAATTTATATAATAAAAGTCGCACGACAAATTGTTTTAAAAGATTTATCAGGCTTTGAACTGCATAGTTTAATATGCATGAAAGCGTCAAATATTTTTTGAATTGTGTCATGATTCGAAATTAATATTTGCCTTATAACTGTCAGGATTGACAGTAGTGTCTTCATACACTGAAACAAAATTTGATTGACACTTATTCTCTTATTTACTCCTTTTAATCACGAAAAGCATTTTGTTGAATCCAAAATTAATACATTTTTGTATGAATATTTTCACATTTTTAGACAACTCGAATGTGAATTCATACGTTTTAGATACTTGTGATGAAATGTGTTAATTATTAACACCTAGAATTGCTGCAGTTAATTTCCTATGGTATGAAATAAAACACGTATCTTGTATTCAGCTTAATAGTATCATTCAAAAAGAAATAATTTAGAAACACAATTTCATAAATTCAGTTACAAAATAACATTAAGGGAGAAACAAAATTAATTCTCTAAACATTGCTCCATTAATCTTAAATTAAACATATATTTTTCTTAAACTTGTGCTTATAAATGTGGTGTTAGATTCTCTTCTAAAGAAAGTAGAAGTTTTAAAGTTTCTTTTATTTCTTACTTATAATGATGCATTCCTTAGATTTTTTCATGATTCATAAGCATTTAAGTAAAAGAAAGTAAATGAAAGGAAAAATAAAAGGATAAATAAGATTTTCATTCTAAATTTCTATAAGGTAGAGAATGTTACGGCTTATTAGTTGTAATTTGTGATAACTGTAGTTATAGTCCACCATCAGCTATAACGGATGCCGAATAAAATTCTTAATCAAGTGAACATAGTTTTCAAAATAGGTTCTTTAGTATGAATTCATGAATAATTATTTGAATTAAGGAATTTGCTTTTCCTTCAAGCAATAACTGAGATGTGGCTTTATAATACTTAAAATTATAAATAAGTAGCAAGTATAATTCAGAAACAGTAAAAGTAATAATATGTCTTATCAAATAGCAGGAAACTGCGCGAAAAGCAATTTTACCTATGAGAAGAAAATTCTGCAAGTAATTATTGATGCTTGGAGAAATTTTCTATATCTGGATTCTTTATTCAGTTAAAGGGAGAGGAATATTTTGACATACCAGGTAACTCTCTTGCTTTCCTTCTTTTAAACATTTTCGAATACGTTTATTTGATATTTGTATGAACTTAAGTATGCCTATTCTAAAGATGCTTTATTTTCATTCTTAATATACATAATTACATTAAGAATGTATGTGTTTACATTATGCTCATACTTAATATATAAATTTGTGTTAATATGCGTATAAATATTAACACAAGTGTGTATATTAAACGTTCAATTGATACAAGTGTGCATTTACTTTTGTATGCACTATTCTATTAATTGTTCATGTTGCTAGACACAGTTTAAATCTGGAAAGATTTCATACTGAAAATAGCTTTACTTTCAATACAAATACTAAAAAAATTGCTACATTGTATTTACCTTTAAAAAATAATAAGGAAGTTAGTAGTTCTTACCTTGGGCGTAAGAGATGAACTTGCACATAATCTCATCAAATACAAACCCTCTCAATAAAGTTCCTATCAGAGTAATTGGCATACAGAAAACCCCGAGCAGGAGGTCACTCGCTGCCAAGTTCAGTAAAAAGACGTTAGTCACAATTCGTAGTCGCTTGTTTCTTACTAAAGTAACAATTACAAGAATATTGCCGACAAGTCCTATCAGAAATATTAAGCTATAAAGAGGTATGCGGATTGATCCTTCCATGTCGAGATACCATACTATCTCAATGTCCGGATCCAAAGAGACGAGGGTCGCATTGTAGGAATAATTCATTCTAAGCGAATCACTGAAGTTTTATCCAGAAATGTAATAAATAAGCAGGAGTTGTTTTCGTAGAAAGGTACAAAGAATTTATCTGTTTTTCTAAATTCATAATGAAGTCAATTCAGTCTTTTGAATTATAAGTAGCTCTTTAAATCGTTTTTAACTTAAAGTAATGAAATTGAATTTAGAATGTTTAATCATCGAATAATATTTGCCTATATTTATTTTTCATAAATATTCTCAAAATATAATAGGATTTTAAAACACCGCGTCGATTTAATACGACAAAGAGAAACAATTGAAATGATCTGGTGTCCTTATTAAAAAAAAAGGAAATATTATTAAAACTCGTTAACTTTTTAGCCGCAAAGCAGTGTTATATGAAACTGAAAAGTGGGAAAACGGCAAATGCAATACAGCATTTGAAAAGCGAAAATTTATGTTTCAAACATTTCATTCCTTTGATTTTATTTAACACTGAAACATAAAGATTCTGCAAGTATATTAACATGCAATGCGAAACACGGAAACTTCCGATGAATTAAAAGTTAGCCAAACAAATTCAATGAAACCAACCGCATGGAAGAACGAATCTGCATCGGTTTTATTTAGCTCCCTGTGGAATAAACCTGATGTAAACCACCGAGAAGAGGAAAGTCCTTTGGCGATAAAGTACGCAGCCAAATTGGCGAGAAGAGCTGTTTCAAGATGCTCACTTTTTCAGTACTTTCAAGTGTATGAACAATTGGCGAACTCACAGTATTGATATATAGAATGCCTGAAAAAACTAACATTATTAAATTCTTTTTTGACAGTTATGAAATATTACATAAAAAAATTTGCTCATTCGCTTCTAAGAAATAAAGCTCCTAAAGTCTCATTCATACCTGAAATGAGTGCAAAAGACTCAAAAAAGAATGCAACTATCAGTAAAAAAAATATCACAGCTGTACCGAAACGCATATATACGAATGAAAATTACTAAAGTATAATTTGTTCCTTTTTCTCACGTTTTGTTCTTTTCGATCTCACTTCGTTTCGTAAATTTCAGACATTTAGTTTGCCAAATTTTTATTTTCAGTTAAAAAATAATTAAATTTTCTGAAAGGCAGGGCGGATTCACAGATGATCTTTTAAATATCAGCTCACAGATGATATTTAAAAGGCTCAAAAAGCAGCCAAAAATGCATTTTTATTTTTAACAGGACTTATACGTAAGTAAATACGAAATAATAAATTAAGTAAGTAAAACTATCAAGATGGCCGGTCCAGGCGGGAAAGTGGTTAGTGACTCCGACTGTCGTACTGAAGGCCCCGCGCTCGAACCTCGGAGGAGGCATGGATGTAATTTATCCATCCCTTTAATAGGAGGCAACTAACTGTTCCCAATTGCAAATTCATTTACTTAAAGTTTCCAAGCAAATTCTTTAGTACTCGTCGATTAATTTCACACTTGATAAAGTAAACTGACTCATAAATCTACAGTGGGTAGAAAAAGTATTTGCACACCTACATTTTTGTTTGCAATTCATAAAAAGAAGCATTGAGAAATAAAAAAATTGGTATTGCCAAATCAGAATAAGTTTAATCATCCAAAACAAACAGAAAAATTACAATAATATAAATAACAATGCTTTTTTGTAACAAAAATTAAAATATCTCGTATCAAAAAAGTATTTGCAAAAGAAATAAAATATATAAGCAAATTTCAAATAACTAATATTTAGTATGCATTCCTTTAGCTAGCTTGTATCTATTACTGCTGTATCTTCTAATTGCTGTACATTAAATTCTGTCCTTTTCTCATTTTAAAGGGCAGGAGATTGCTTGAAATCTTCCTTTATTTTATTTAAATCCAATTAAAGATCTGTGAAGGATTGTGGTGGAGTCTGGCAAGTTTTCTGGGGTACATTATAAAGCAACCACATACGTGTTATACCGGTGTGCTTGGGATCATTGTCTGCTGAAAATAGTACGAATTACTGATACCCAATTTATTGCACTTTGTGGCAAGTTATCTCGCAAACACCATCAATATAGGTTCGAGCTGTCCCATATTCCCATCAATGAACACAAATTACCAACTCCTTGCTAGCCATGCACCCCCAAATCATAACAGCAGACAACCTCTCCCAAACTGTATTTTTTTTGCCATCTGATTTAAAGATATTGAACTTTCTCTCTCGTCGGAGAATTGATGACATTTTTCCAGAAATCAATTGGCTTATTGAATATATTCCTTAGCGAATTCAGTCTCTTCAGTCTTTCGTTCAGTTATGAGAGGTTTTTTCCTTGGTGATCTCCCATAAATGTGTGCATCGTGCAGGACATTTCGAACACTTTGGGCACAGATTTGAACTCCAGATGTTGAAGCGACATCATTGGCTAAAGTAATTGCACTAATAAATGGATTTTTTTCGATGCTTCTCTTATGATTTTTTTCGCTTCATTCGCAGTGAAAGTTTCTTTGGGCGTCCAGAGCGCAAGTTATTTGATGTAGATCCTCTTTCTTTATGAACGTTTTTATAACATACCGAACAGTAGAGAAGCAAACATTTACTTTTTTACCTATTTCTCGATAACTTAGGCCATTTTCACGTAGAGAAAAATTTTTCAATTTTTTCTCGCAACGAAATCGGCAATTCAGATTTCTTAGGTGCCATTACAATTTGAAATCGACAATCAACTGATAACGTTTCGACAACACCTCCTTTTATAGTCGTCTTACGTATGTTATTTACTGCGGGATGACTGTCAAATAATAGCATAAAAATGCAAATTTGCTAAAGTTGAGTTGAGTGTGCAAATACTTTTTTGACATAAGCTATTTTAATATTGTTGCAAAAAATGTTTTTATTAATATTATTGTATTTTTTGTAATTAATTTAAATGAATAAGCTTATTCTATTTTTTAAATGCCAATTTTTGTATTTCTTAATGCATTTTCTTATAAATTGTGAACAAAAATGTATGTGTGCAAATACTTTTTGTACCCACTGTATTTAATCCGAAGCCAAGGTGATTCCTCTATTTCTAATTTTGTAGCCGTTTCCTTGTAGGCTTTCATGGTTCAAAAACTTATGAGTATTTCCTTTATTTTGTACAAATAAAGCGAGAATCGTACGAAGAACTCTGCATTCCCTTTATAAAACTGCGCCGCGTTTGACCATTTTGAAGTTTCTAAATTTCAATTTTTACGTTTATGTAATTAAGGCTGAAGCTTACATAGCGCCATTTCCAAGCAATAGCCAAGACTGAAAATAATAATAATAATAATAATTTTGTCTATTTTAACTCTTTTTCTTTTTTTTCGTAATTTCTTTTGTCTGCAAAGAGGAAAACAAGTTATTTGCTCATGGGCTATACCTGTCCATTAATCCTTTGCGGTATGATATAATTTTTAAAGCTGTGCATAACAGAAACATTTAATTTTTATTAGCCATTATGTTATATAAATTGTTATAAAGAAAGCATATTTCATTTTATGATTCACATATCTTGCAAATCAAATATACAGTTGTAATTCTTTGCGGAATTTCAGAATGAACGCAAAATTCACGAAAAATGTAAATAAATTAGGTATAGCTAATAGTTTTCAAGAGACAGCAACTTTTCAAAACATTTTGCCACTTGCAAAAATATCCTGCATTTTTTACTCTGTCGCGGAGTCTCACTTCTAATTTTTTTCCTTGTTGCATACACGGTAACTTTCAACAGGTTTTCTTTACTTTTTAGTCGTAGGAACGTATTCTGGAAAATGCTACCAACGTTTGGCCTTTAAACTAGTTACTTGTTTGAAGCACCATTAAGCGTGACAGAAGTTGTTCTGTTATGCCCAGGTGAAAGCTTCCAATCCAGTTTTTGCTCGTATTGTCGATTTTGCCATAGAGCACGTATCAATTACAGAGCGAGCGTCAAATATTTTAAAAAAAAAAAAAAACTGAAAGCTTTTTTTTTTATGGTTACGTCCAAAGGGGCGTTTTTTTTTAATGTTTTGTGTGCTACCTTTGTTTATTAAATATCATGTTCTTCGAACTTAAACCACATAAAATTCAATTCAACAGCAATAGCCCAGAATATTTAAAAACAGCACATCTTTAGAATTTCCGATAGACAGTCTCGGGCTGGAGATAAAAATGTTTTTTTTTTCCACCGTAAAGTGTTGCTATTATTCTCTTTGAAATCGTTGAGTTTGTTAATTAAAAATTCGTTCATGTTTTACAATATATGAAATAGATAATGAAGCAAACTCGAAACTCACAATTCGGGCTTCCAGGTGCCCATGTTCGGGCGGAGATTTCGTTAATGCGAGAAACATAATACATTCATGAAGATTTTTCATTATTTAATTTTTTTAAACATAATACTGGGCGATAATAGTTGGTGGTAACAATTTAAAATACGTCGTTAGTAGAGAACCGACGCAAAATGCCGTTTCGAGAATATTAGCTCTTCTGGGATAACGCTCCTTTGGGCTAAAAAAGGGATTTTTCTGTATTCTGTAACATATTTTCATGCCATCTGTTGATGGTGTTTACCCATGCCATCTATTTGTCCACTGTATTCATCCACCCTACCTATGTTTAAAATATTCTTCTCGTTAGCATTACAATATTTGCTGCTGAGCATAAATACATTTCTTTTGTTCCTTTTGTAATTCTGAAAATTAATAAACCTTGACTGCAGATTTCGAACTTCTAATTTCTTCAGTTTAGATTTTGAAAGTTTATTTAACATACATTTAGTATTACATTTATCTAACTACACACAGTAGCCGATGAATTAGAAGCCTTTGAGATTTTCATTTGAATGCGTGCTTGGGATGAAATATGCAAATTTTTTTTTATGACGTGGGTTATACTTGGTTAGAATGCTAGTATAAGTAAGGTGTAAGAATGCTATTCATGATGAATGAAGTAAAGTGGGAGAAACGACAGATCTTTCACCATTTGAAATGGGCTTGTTGTTGGAGCCTATTTCGAAGACAACAAATCTCACTGGGTTCTCAAAAGCAGCCATATCAAAGGTTTTCAAAAGCTGGAATCAGAACCCACAGTCTTTCTCTAGAAGACGCAACTAAGGCTCGAGTACAGTTTTCCAAGAGGAGTGATCGGCGTTGTCTCCGACGAATTGTACAGCAGAACAAGGACTCTTACTATGCTTCAATCAACACAGATCGTCAACCAAAGGCTCTTCCCAACAGATTTCAGCTCGAACCATGCGCATAGAATTGCATAGGATAGGAATGCATAATCGGGTGCCTGTGAGAAAAACCAACCATTTCTGCCCGACATGCAAGAATTCGTTTGCACTTGTGTCGGGAAAGAAGGCATCTGAGGATCGGAAACGGGTAATGTGGTCGGATGAATCCCGCTACACCTTATTTTGCACTAATGGAAGACTTCGAATTTGGCGAGAACCCCATGAAACCCTGAAACTATCTTGCCTTACTCGCATTGTGCAAGGGTCTCGTGGGAGTATCATGATATGGAGCATGTTCTGCTGGTATGAAAGTGGTGCTCTGGTGTTCCTCGAGGATAAACGAACTGCCATGAGATACTTAGATTATACTTTCAGATAAAGTGCACCC